TCTAAAATTTACATTGCAGCAGTGCTTTGATGGAAACACAGACGCTTTTGATTTTTCTTCTGTTTATCTGTTTATACTTATGCTCAAATGTCTTCAGACCCCTAGCTTCTTTTTAAGTTATTCATTTATGCAGCTTTTCATTTTTCTACCCTTAATATTTACTTTGAAATCAGTGAAATTGAAGTAAACTCTGGCCACCTATGATATCAGGGGACTCTTACACTATTTCTAGTCCCCAACGTGAAAGATAACGAAGAGAAATATCCTTCTTCTCAGCAAAGGATTCTGTTACACTTCACTGTCCAATTCTGATTGGGGCAGTGGCTCTTGTATCCCATCTATTGTAGAACTGTTTCTTGAGCTACACATGCGGATGCTGGTACGTAAAGGGCTCTCCTGGATTTAGGTGAGCTGCATAAATATTATAAGATTCCTCCCAGATAACTGGTCCTTACTTAATTCATATACCTAGTTAAGTTATCGAAGGCAGGGATTTTTTTTTTTTTTATCTTTAAATGGTCTACGAACCTGAGCTTCAAACAACTTTTTTTTTTATTAGGGATTGGTTTTTACAATTATACATTCTTAGAAATAGAGAACTTTGCAACCTTAAAAGGCCTATATAGTAACCAGACCATTAGTTATAATCTTATTTCAATTTGAAAGTTGACTTATAAAAAGAGAAAGTTAAGGTAGCATTTGCTGACTTTAGAATGTATTCCATCTACAGTGGAAAAACCAAACCTTTGTTCAAAACTTAATGCAATTGAAAAAACCGAAAGGTCTTAGAAATTCCAGATACTTTGTAAAAGTTACTTTGTTTTCCCAGGACCTAGTCCTCTGCATGGTGCATAGTTGATGCTCAATAAAATACACCGGTTTGGTTGTATATTTTAGGGGTAACTATAAGAAAGGCATTTAGAAAGTTAAAGTTAAGTCTCCATTGCTTACTTAACCACCCATTACTTGGGTGGTTTTGACTGCAGTTTTCCTCAGTAAAATTCACTAGTGTATGATGCATGATAAAAAAATACAGTGAATGTTAAAAAAAATTTATTGTAGTAAAAGACACGTTGCCATTAATCCCCCTCAAAATACTCCCTCTTGCTTTGAACACACTTATCCCATCGTTCTTGCCATTTTCTGAACCAGTTCTGGAAGTCCTGTTTCATGAGTGCCTTCAGTCACGCTGTCATGGCTGCCTCAATGTCCTGAATCGATTCAAAACATTTATCTTTCATGGTCATTTTGACTTTGGAGAAGAACCATTAAGTTGCACAATGACAGATCTGGTGAATAAGGTGGATGAGGACACACCATAATGTTTTTCTTTGACAGAAATTGCCATACCAGAAGCCATGTGTGACATGGAGCCTTTCTCATTGTGACCAAAAAATACAGTGAATGTTGCTGCCGAGTGCCATCCAACGGAAAGGCAGGGATCTTCAATACAGGAAATGGAGCATCAAACCTTAGTAACTGTGTGACAAGTTTTAACTTGTTCGGTGCAGTCAGTCATGTGTGAGCTCTGGTTGAGAGAAGGTGTGTTTTAAAGTGTGCCATAAATCATCCTCCATCAAGACAACTCTCCAATCACATGTCACTTCTGGTATAAGGCAGTTTCTGTCAAATAAAAACATTACGGTGTGTCCTCATCCACCTAATTCGCTGGATCTGGCACCATGCGATTCATGGCTCTTCCCCAAAGTCAAAATGCCTCAGGACATCGAGGCAGCCAGAGTAGCACAACTAAAGACACTCACTCAAGAGGACTTCCAGAACTGCTTCAGAAAGTGGCAAGAACAATGGGATAAGTGTGTTCAATGCGAGGGAAAGTATTTTGAGGAGGATTAACGGCAGTGTGTCTTGCTGTAATCAACTTTTTTGTTTAAACATTCACCATATTGTTTGATTACCCCTTGTACGTATTCATAGTTCTTCTCAATGTCCCCATCACAACTTTCCAGTCCTCCTGTAATTACCAGTTTACTTACACTATACGTCCTACAGGGTCGCACACTGCCTCGTTCACAGTCCGGTGCCTGCCGTGTAGTTGGGATTTGGTAAATATGCCTACTTCCATGGACACAGAAAACTTGGGTGCATGGGGGATGGGTGACTGTTTCTCAGAGTGTTACAAGTCCTCCAGCTGGGATTTGATTCTGAATCTTCTCTTTCTCTGAGCCTTTGAAGTGAATACCACATGGAATACCAAGTCAGTTTTCTATGATTGCTTTAGAAAAGCTGATAACAGTAAAGGTTCAATACCAAATGTGTTACCCTTGTTATTGTCACCCTTGTGGATATTGTCATCCACACCTTTTGGAGAACCCATAATATGCATAGTAATACACTGCTCTAGTTGACTGAAGGAAAAAGGTTTAGTTGTCTTTCTTATTTCTTCCTTTTCCTCATTCTCACCTTGAAGAAAAGAGCCTTAAAAAATCAGCTGCGGTGTTTGCCTTTTGGCCTAATCGGTAGGGAGGGTCCAGGTTCCTCCGAATGGGAGCGAGTGGCTCTTCACTTCTCTGCTAATATTTTAAGTTGCTAGTTGTTGCTTAAAATCTCTTAAGCAGCATTCCCTCTGCTGAAGTTGTTCCAAGGTACAGTGTGTTCCCAACCCCCAATCCCCATACACACACCACAAGCTGATTTCCCAAGTGATTGTGTGAGATTTCAGAAAGAGACTGTGTTCCTACTTGAAAAACATAGTTATTAAGCGTGACATAAAAGGTTGCAGGGCTTAGGCAGCAGAGCAGGCAAACCATGACATTTGTAGGTCAAAGACATTTCTTAACATTAAATGTGTTCTTTGAAAAATAAAACCACTAAATTATTTTTCTGCCTTTTCACTTTTAAATAGAAAAACATACTCCATGTTTCAGGAAATGTCTACATTTAAAGTAATTTAGAAATATACTATCAGTACATTGAAAAGTCTTTGGCCATGGGCGTGTTGAGAAACTTGCTTTTTAAGAATTTCCACTATGATTTTTGACATCAGGCAAAGCTAAAGAGGGGCACCATTGTGATAAATTAATGGTTCTTGTTTTGGGTGGCCAGCCACACAGGGAAAGATTGAGGTGCTATAAAAGCCTTTGAAAACATCATAGCATGCCAAAATGTTTATACTGTCAGCCAGATAAAAGCAGTAATCTGAGACAAACCGTATGCCTCTGGGTCATCCAGAAATCTGAGCTCAGTTCTCTCCATCTCTCTCTCTCTCTCTCTCTCTCTCTCTCTCTCTC